GGGGATTATTAGGAGGCCATGATTGGTAAGGGCCAATGGGAAATGTGGCCAGGACGCCGGGGTTACACCCCTATTATTTTCAAGAAACATCCCTGGAATTTTTAATGACCACAGAGAGTCAGGACCTTGGTTTTACGTCTCATCTGAAGGACGGTGCCTGTTTACAGTATAGTGTCCCGGTCACTATACTGGGACATTAGGACCCACAAGGACCGCAGGGTGAGCGCCCCTTGCTGGCCCCACTAGCACCTCTTCCTCTTCTGTTAATACAATGGCAAACATAATTGTGATTCTCTCAAAATAAAATAATCTTCAAACTGTATTCACATTTCTGATAATTGCACATATCAGAGTAGGTCAAATATTAATAATAATATTCATAATCAAATTTGAGTAATAATATGAATAAGCCTACAGACTATCTCCAAGATGCTCATAAAGAGCAGGGAAATTTAAAGATGCACTTAAACAGAAATGGCAATTGAGTATTTTACAAACATACAGCATTTAGAACAACTAAGTTGCACTTGTAGTGCACTTACTTCAGTTTAACTTTTCTAATGTACTGTAGCACAGGAACTGCATCTCCTTGCAGTAGGAGGGAAACTGGGTGTGGGCTTTTATTTCCTCTCTCCATTAATACACATTACCAATAGTCACTAATGCAGGTTTAGCTAAGTAATTTTTGGTTTTAATCTGCTCTTTAAAATATGAACATTTTAAAGTCACTGTCTAATATATTTCTATAATTAAAATCTTAAATAATTAAAAGTATTCCCTGCTACTTGAATGAAATGAATACATACTGTATATTATATAGACATATTTATTAATCTGATATATCACAGTATTAAATATTAACTTTATATTCATAATCTCTTAAACCCCATGGCGATAATGGGGACGTATCAGATGTTAAATTGAGGAAGGGAGACAATAGCCCCAACTCCCATCCCCAGAAAGTCTGAGAAAGATGTAATATCCAGTCAAAAGGTTGCAGTGTCAAGGAATTCAGCACATTTGTAAATTAATGTGTGTTTCGGACGTGTTTTCTTTCTTCTTTTTTTTCAGCATGGAATAAACCTATTACTTGTTCCTTTGCAGCCTACGCATGCTGACGCAGCTACCCACCTTAATATTATTGTAGTTTTTTCTTTCCTATTCCCACTTTTAGCATCTGTTTTTTCTTCTCCTTCTCCTTTGTTTGCTCTATTTTTTTACTAACAAATTCTCGAATAACTCTCAAACATGTCACATACGTTCACTCTGTCTGCTTGTATGTGTGCCTGTAAAAATAATTAAATTTCAAACGATAGAAGAGGTCAAAATTATATCAACTTGGACCTGTATATTATAAAACCAGTTTCAGAGTAAAATATTTCTGGAATATCAAATGTAGTAGTTTGACCACTGCATTCTGCAAGAAAAAGAAGACTGGACCCTGAAAGCAAAAATACAGGAACTACCAGTCATGTAGGCATGAGCTCAAAAACAGATCCAGCCATTCAGAATGCACACGGGATAATACAGTACTTTGCAGTGCAGGCGCTGCGTTTTACTGCACCTTTACAAAAATATTCAGTTAAAGGACTGCACTACTATGTAAAACCAACAGGTGGAGCAGTGAAAGCTGAACTTGGTGTGTAGAAACATTTGGTCTGTCGCCAGAAAATGCTTGATGACAATGCTGAGCGACAGTCTTTT